TTTTTTCTAAAATATCTAAAATTTCTTAATAACAATCGCAAATACGCAAAATGTCTTGATTAACCGGTAGGTTATGAAATATTTAATTGGATTAATTCACATAATCGATAGTATACATTGTAGGAAATAATACGATCATAAATGATGAAAAATAAAAATTCGATGCATGATAATTATTCTATTGTTAGAAAAATTGATTATTTACGTATCTAGGAATGTGAATAATTTTTTTTTAAATTAAAACCGGTATGCCTATAGAATATAACATGAAGGAATGTGAACAGCTATACCTCATAACTCAGTGGTTCGGCATGGATGAAGTGATCCCAAAGGATTTGCAATTTATCGGAAAAATTTGAAGACATTCCTAAGTGTTCGTGATGGTGTTCGTCGTCGTCTTCGCCCTCAGACTCGACGGTTTTTAATCTTCCATCGTCTTCGACGCTACTCACATCGTAGGAATCACCAGCAGCAAATTCTTGCAAGGTCGGATCTTCTTCTAGGATCTCTTTCTGAGTTGCTACCTCGAATTGATCGATATCAATCTGGAAAGATGAAGGAATCCACGATGCAGTACTACTGCAGAAAGATAAGGTGAAATAGAAAGGAAACGTAGCGTAAGTATTTTCCAAGTTTATAACAGAATTTCACGAGACTGTTGACAAAGTTTCTCTTAGGTAACTTGCACGTACATGTGCATATTTATGTACGTATTCGTGATTATCTAGTCTACCACACTTATATAACACACCCCTTCCCTGTGTAAACTCTGCGGAGAAACAAGTTTCTAGCCTTTCAGAGGAAGCCTGAAAGTTACTGTATACCTAGAACGCGTTAAGTCGACCGATCGGAAAATAAAGCAAAACACGAAGAAAATAGAGAGAAAGAAAAAAGAAGAAGAAAAAAAAATTTTTTTTTAAATTAAAAAGAAAAAACCAAGAAGGTAGATTTATTCTTGGAACATAAAAAGGATGACCGATCGTTAGACATCTCTGTTTTGCGTTAGCATTGAAATCTAATAGACTTGGGTGTCTATGGTATGTTGAGACCTTTAAATACATTTTATCGACTGACTTACTCCCATACTATAACATGTTGCATCCTCTTTATCAGCTTTCGAAACATACGATTGTCCTTTTTTTTGCCTTCGATAACGAGTTGAAGAGGATTCATTCCTCTGTCTTCCATTTATGGAACTTCCCCGTCCTCTTTGAAAGCCGTAGGGAGAAAAAATGGACATCGAACAGGTGGTCCTCGATATTAAAAGTTTCTTCGTCGTTGAATGAAATAACCAGCAGTGTAATTGGTCAAACGAATCAAACAATGTCTATGATCATAATTGATCAATTTTAAGCTTTGAATAGCCAATAATTTTCGGTTAGGAGGATTGATCTCTACTACTGTTAATGAACTCAATATTCGACCACTGGATGACCCCGGTCCACGACCCTTGTTATCGCGCTACTTTTAATTTATGATCTTCTCGAGCTCTATCGACCTTCTGATACAACATTAGTGAAACCAGCGGTCGTTGCCTTCTTTGCTGTAAATTTCTTCTCCTTTTTTTCGTCTTTCTCTCATTTACTTATCCTTCCTCTCGATCGATCCAATAACAACGAAGATTCTTACAAAATTTTCAAAATTCAATTTATCTTTGTCTAGGACCCAAAATAATTGGTTGAACAAGAGATTTTCTTACATACTATATCAAAATATGTCTTCTTACGTCAACACTAATGGTAAGATGCCAAACATGTGATTACGTTTATCAGTTCTTTTTGAATTTTTGTACACCGCAAAATACTTCCAGACTGATCTTTTACACGAAAGTGTAAGATCTTACTACGTCACACTCTTTGATCGATTTCTATAAACAAACAAAAAGTAAAAATTTACACAATTAACGATTGAACCGAATGAAATCAATTTAATAAGAATATATATATAGTATTCATAAAAGAAATTTAGATAATCACTGATAAATTATCTTGATTTTTGCGTAGCCTAACTTAGTTTAGCACACATATTATTAAATACTCCCATGATCGGCTAATACCAAGTTAGAATCCCGTTTTAAATATTATGATGTTGCGACTCTTCAGGATCGTCATGCGAACTGTTGAGACGATGAATGGCTGAAGAAAGTAGCAGAAGGATGTGATCGAAGTAGGGAGTAGAAATGGGGGTGGGGGTTGAAGATGGAGGTGGATATAATGGAGCCTCCCGCAAACCAAAGATTATTCCAATCTTTCTTTGAAGAAAACTTATGATTCACATTTGTCTCTCACGTCCCGTTCTGTCAAACAAATTAAAATAGAACAAATAAACATAGAAATAAGTGATAATAAAGCTTCATGTATTAAATCTCTAACGCGTGATAACGCCAACGTTACTTTGATCAGTCTTTGGAATGTTTTCTTGTCAGGATTCACAATTAACGAGTCTGCTAAACTCAGAATTATCTCACAAAAGAATCTAAGGAAATAAAATCAAATCAAAGAAAATAAAAATAGAAATATATTAGATATTTTTATTCCACTTAAAATTCCCTACGATTACATTATCCAATGTAATTAATCGCAATTAATCCTATCACTGTAGCATTGCAATACAAAATATATAACCTGAACAAATATTTCAATATAATTTTAATATATTTCAATCTTTGGAGAACATTATAGTATTCTTCCGAATGATTAAAATAGCAACTTTTAGAAAGAAGACTGTTTGAAACTTTGACAGACAGTCAAGTAATCGTTGATAATTGGCGTTTTTATTTTCAATGACACTTTGATGGTCATCCGTGATCGATGTTAATAATATATTGTTTTATATCTTATTTTAGAATTGTGATATCTATGGCAAAACATCAAACTCTTACGTAAAAATTAACTTTATCACAATCGTTATCTCGTTAAAATTCGACCTGGATAAACAAACCAATGTTAGTCATGGTCGTTATTATTCTTCCTTATATTTATCTTCTATTTCGATCTTTTATACAGGTAAATATAATATTTAAAATAAATCATAGGACTCGCCTGTTTACGATCGATCTTTTGAATTGTCAACGAGATGATAATTGCCAGTAGAGAGAAAGAGAGAGAGAGAGATTTCTAGAGATTTCAACGAATGATAAATACTACGCGCTTATAATCTGCAGAGGTTACCCTTTTTTCTCCCTCTCTTTTTCTTTCTCTCTCTCTTTATCTATTGCTGTACAAAATGGCTGATACAAAATTAATAAGGAAAAAATTCTATGAAGCGATAAGTGGAAGTAACACGTGTAAAACGATTGAAACCATAACATAGAATACATATACATATATTGGATCGAGGGGTATCGATTAATCTTCGATGTGTGTACAGTGAACTCATTATTCTAGTAAAGAATTATCTTAATAGTGTTTTACCCTACCGTTATTCTTTAATTAGCCTCGGTTCGACGAAAACGATAACAAGAAACGCGAATCAATGAAAAAGGTATCATTCTTTTTTAGATAATAGTAGGGAAAAAAGCGAACTCATGAAAATGATAATAATATAAGGAATTATTTATGGATATATTAAAAGGGAGGTCAAATACATATACTATGTATATTTTAGTAATTACATTTAGTAATTTTCCTAGCCAGTGAAGAGAGAGATTTTCGTTTTATAAACATAACGCATAAACATGTACAGTAATTTATTGGAGTAGTCGTACCTATCCATATTGTAAATTTGAAATAATTTATATTTGCTTGTGTAATACAAAGATGAGTGATTGATTGTTCGAACGATTATTAAATAATTTAATTCGTAGTACTTTGATTTGCTATTTTGGTGCAGCAATGATTATATACTCAAAATATTAAAATTGGCTTGAACAGAAAACATGAATGGGAAAAAAACTTATTTTTATCCTAAAAAACATTTCCTATGCTTGCTGGTTACTCTATATTATAATTGAAGTTTTGACTAGTATAATCATTAGAGAATGTTTTGTTCATCTTTCGTTTCTCTTCTCACTCTTTCGATTTTCCTTATTCTATTCCTCTTTTATTTTCTAGCAGTCACATAAATATGTATCTTAATATTTATACAGATTATCCCAAAAGTCGCTTTAACGTGAAAAGATGAACAAAAAAAAACAATTAATATTGTTTAATTAATATAAAAATAAGTTTATAGAATATTGATTTGGAGACTTTGAGGCCCCTGTTGATGGGGGCCCTAAACAATTGCTTTTTGTATCCATAGGATAACGCGCCACAGACTCCAAAAATCTGCTAAAAAATAAAATCATAAATTTTCAATTCTGATAAAGCGACTTTTGGGACACTCTGTACGTCAGTATACATATATAACGTAATTAGATTATCTTTTAAAAGTTTGTCGCGAATTACTAATCATACGATAAATAACAAAACAATACAGAATAAGAAGTTAAACTATAAGATTATATACTAAAGCAATCGAAAAATCCGGGATAATTAAAGATACGATAATTATTCTTTTTTTTTTTATTAAGAATCCTGTTATTTATATTACGTGTATTACGTGAAATTTAAACTTACATCACGTTCCCGCCACTGTATCTGCTATCATACGAGACTAAATCGCGGCAAACGTCATGCCAATCTCCATTATGGTGCTTGCAGTTAATAATCTTTAATTAAGAAATTCAAGCAAACGATTGCCTCCCTTTCTCTTTCTTCTTCACCTTATTTAATTATTCATATTTCTCGTGGGTTTTTTTTGGTCATAAATATAGATATAACGGTAAAACGATCTTTATGAGCCATGAAGAACGTCTTCGCAACTTGTCAACTCCTTACAAATGATTCTCAACAACTTCGGACGGTAACAACCTACTTGATCTTCTTTCTCTCTTTCTCTCGAATTTGATTGGCTAAAAAGATCGATCACTTTTACTTTAAATTTACCGCATATTTTAAATCAAATCAATTACTAAACATTGTACTTATACAAATTATTGATAATAATACGATTAAAATTATTACATTTTCATTAATCAATGAAAAAAATATATTATTTTAGAATTTGATAGAGAGATTTATGATTCTGAATGATATCTAAAGATACATTTCGTTTGTTGATAGTATCATTTGAAAGGCGATCAAAATAAACGAGTATGTGTATCTTCAGAGGTGCGCGGTTGTAAGCAAAATGCTTTCGACCTATGGTTTTAATATCGATCGATTCTTTTATTTTCTCAGCTGAATTGTATTGTTCTATGTGTAAATATTATTGATAATTTATTTGTGAAATATATATTTTAGTATTATATGAAAAGAAAGGTTAAATTATAAATTTATCATCGTTCCTCAGATTTAACGTAAGAGAAGAGAAACATAACCTCTCGTTTAAGAGAAAACGTACGCATGCGAGAAAGTTTCTTAGAGTGTTTTATTAATCATATAAACAATGACCGTTTGGGAACGAATGCGAAATCCGTGCGGATGGAGAGGAGGTGCTAAACAAATATCTGTTGACGCTATGATACCGCTATTTGCGGTACCCCTTTTGGCGATAATCGCCGCCCAGTCATTTCTTTGTACCGTCGTAATATTTCTCGCAACGCCTATTTTGGTATATTATTTGCATCATAATTTCTTGAGGTTTCTATTAAGAACAAAATTTTTTCTCATGTGGACGATTACGAGTGTGTTGATGCTGATGGTAGTTTTTGAAGTCAGTGTTGTGCCGTTACTTGAAATATTACCGGAGGAAAATTTTTTCTTTATATTGTGCGTTGTCGGAGGCATATATTGCGGCTTTAAGACAAGACTGAATGCGGATCATGCTGCTCAAGAAGGTGCTACGGAACAAGGTTTGGAGCTTGGGGAAGGAAGCGGAGAGTTATGCGTAACTTGTAGAAGAAGAGCACCGCCTAAAGCTTATCACTGCCGAATGTGTCAAACATGTATACTTAATAGAGAGTATCATTGTAAATGGTACGTACCATATGTTTAGAAATTTCTTATCTTGGTAACTGTAAGAACGAATGTTTCTTAAATTGATTTTATTTAAGGTTGGATTGTTGCATCGGTTCCAGTAACTTACAGTGGTATCTTGGATGTTTATTATTTTCAGCGACAGCTTTTATTTATGGCTCTAATCTGACTATGACCACAGTATGTCATCCTTTTATTTTAATTGGTACGGTGCTCTTACCAGACGACTGCAGTGATGTTTATCATCAGTTAGAGTACGTATAAATATTTTATATATAAGCAATTAATATTTTAGATTTAAGCTGAAATAATTCGTACTTGAATTATCTTTTCGAATTCTTCTTTTAAATAAATTTAATTTATAACATGTAACATATTATTATATTATAACATATAATTATATTAAAACTAGTTAAATTAAATTGGAAAAATATGGAGGATTTATAATGCAAAATTTAATTTTCAAAAAATCGCAATAATAAGAGAACCGTAAATATTGTGGAATATCTCTTATTTACTTTTCTAGAAACAAAAAATTTTATTGATAACTCTGACACAACTGATTGTTTCATGTTTTTTCATCGATATACATATAATATAATATACATATTCTTTTAGCATTGCTCTCTGCTTCATCTCAGCACTCTACAGCCTACTCGTTGGCCTAGTGGTATTTTGTTATTTAATGCATCACCTCTGGCTTATTTATCTTGGAACAACGTCGAACGAGCGTCGTTTACGAATATCTAGAAATCAATACGATCATGGAATCTTAAAAAATGTATCTCGGTTATTTTGTTGCAAGACTTAGTAGATACAAATGATAAATAGTCTAGGGTATTGTACTTTGTACAGAGCATATTTTATTTGTTGCCAAGAGAATAAAATGACCATCAATACTAAGAATTAATTTGAACTACGATCGTCAAGCCAGGTACTTAAAAATATTTTAGTATATTTCTTTTATTGATAATATTTATTTATTTGTATTTTTCGATGTCTTTATTACAACACTTTTTAGTAGGATAAGTTTTTTCATTGAATTCAACGTGGATGTGTCATAAATTGTGTGATATACTAATAGCAATTAACGTATATCAAGCACTATAATGACATATCGCAATAATAGTATATCAGTCATAAATAAAATTTCTGGTTATTACGTCAGGATGTTACTATGTTTAGTATTTATATACATTTATTGTATAACTGTGATAAAGTACTTATTACGTGCTAATTAATTATTTCTTTAAAAACGAAATATAAAATCAAAAATATGTATAATTTATATAAAATCTTTGAACTATATATTGTATAAAAGTGACTATTCTATCTGTGAAACTAATCATATCGTTAGCGTATCCGCTCCGTGCGAAGCCATGGTAGGGGAAGCCGAAGTGGACACTAGCGCACGCAGTGGATAACTTTGGCAATAAAGGACGGTGTTTTTTATTTTGGAGTTAACAAAACATGTGTGACAATTAATTTTATATTTTTAAAAAAATGGGTAGAAATAGCCATCGCAGTTGCTGTGTAGTAAATTGTAAAAATACGAGTGCAAAAAGTCATTGTAAATTTTATAAATTTCCGACTGCCAAATGGAAAATCAATCAAAGAAAAATGTGGGTAGCTGCAGTGAGGAGGCAAAAGTAAGTAGTATCCTAACCTTCATTTTAATAACATCAATGATACTGAAAATAGCTTGTGTTCTAATATTTGTAAGTTGAATAAAAACAAAAAATTTAAAATTTTAATTAGTAATTAAAAGTTAGAGAATAAATCAAGCTGCATTTAATTCTTTCCAATTACTTATTGGAAGAATTAATTTTTTTTTTCAATTTTATAATTCATTATAAAAAATTATTTGTTATATGTCTCAAATAATTAAATGTATCAGTAATATTTTATAATTTTTCATGAAGTCCTGATGGATCACAGTGAATTCCCAAATCATACGATTATATTTATAGTAATCATTTTATTGGAGGCAAAAAATCCGAAGAGGAGTTAAGTCCTAGCTATATTCCTACAATATTTCCTCCAATTTACAAGTATCGAAAAGTGAATGAACTTTCTGCTGAGAACAGGTAAATAGTTAGTAATAAAAAATATAATTATAAATGATTAATAAATTATATTTCATACAAAAAAATTAATTATTGCAAAATTTAATTTTGTTACTTTTGAAAGTTAAATATAAAAATTGTAATATAATGGTTTTTTTAGGTACAAGCGTTTAAAGGATCGTCGAATGAAAAATAAATTATCATCAACATCTTATACTGAGCCACCAATTAATGAATTTGTTGAAATAATGATTGAAAATCCACCAGTATCACCACAGAAAGTCGACCAAGGGTGTCAAGTAGACTTTTACTCAAATTTTGATGTAAATTCTCAAACAGAAATTACAGAAGTTACTGGAGCAACCAAAGTTAATTATACTAATAAAAAATATGTAACAACAAAATGTAGGACAGTTCAAAAGACATTTGTTGATCAAGAAAGTCAAGCTGATGATTCACGATTTGCAAGATTTTCATCAATAACTAAGACTTATGAGTTAATTGATGTTGCAGGTGTTACTTTTGAAAATTTTGAATTTTTATTAAAAATAAAACTTAAAATTGATAACAATGTCACATCGTACTTTATCTGCTTGCCAATATTATTTAAAGTTTGATCTACTGTGGCTATAATCTAACCTTTTATTTACTACAGTAAACGCTATAGCTTTCATACTGTTTTTAAATTATTAATTATACTTACATTTTAGCGGTAATTTTTGCATCATAATTGCACAAGATTGAAATTTTATTGTCACGTGGTTTGATATGCAAAAAAAAATTTTTTTAATAACAAAAATTAATTGTTATTGCAAAGCCCTATACGTTTAGATATTAAAAACTCAGCAGCAGCGTCCTTTAGTTCATAGATACCATGGCGCTGCAATCACGCAAGGAGCGGATAGCAGTAAGCATATTTTTTTTATGATAAAAAGATGTGAAAACACCACATATAAGGTAGTTCATAAATATTTTTAGTGTTTTGATCAATTATAAAATTAATCTTAATCCTCTAGCACTACTCCTCTCTCCTTAGGATCAAAATCGGGAACTAGTTTTTGTACTATCTCTCTCCACTTGTTCCTTTGTTTTTCACTTTCTTTAACTATTTCAGCTATCGTAGGATAATCTCTCCATTTATTAAAATATTTATTCACAAGTTTATCATTGTAATGTTCATCTGCCATTTTGACGTATTTTAAATATTCTAATTTTATTATGGCAACAATAGATCTCAATACACAGAAATATTTCTCTTGCAATTTCATATCGTAGAAATCTTTGGCAACTTGATGTTTTATATTTTCTTCCTTTACCATATCCGTCCAATCTTTAAAAGTGTACCATAATAAATTCCTATTGTGTAAGGAAATGGCAAGTTCAAGTTTGATTTGATACTGTTCTTTCGTTTCCCTTCTCCAGGCAGTCAAAGTTTGGAGTAATAAGAATTTTTTATAATGATCGTTTGCTCTTTGAATATTGTCGTTTCTTATTTTGATGAGTTTCTTAAACGGTTCTATTATATAATGTCGAAATAAATATTTGCAATAGAATTGATTGGCCATCGAATTTAATTTTTTTAATTTTTCTAATTCTTCCATTTTACACTTTTTTTGTTCTTCATGCAGCCTTCTCGCTTCTCGTATAGTCTGAAATCGAAATAATTTATAAATCGATCGAAAAAACATCAAAGTAAATAAATAATATAATTAGTTAAATAATAAAGCAGTTGTATGCTACCATAAGTATTTAGATCTTTCATTGTCTGACCTCTTGCTGTAATTTTTTTCTTTTTTCTTCTTCTTCTCGTTTAGTTGCTTCTTCTTTTAATTTCTGCTCTTCCAACTTTTTTTGACGAGTTTCTTCCGCTTTTCTTAATCGTTCTCTTCTCGCCTCTGCCCGAGCTTCCACTTTCATAATGAATTTTGGTGGATTTAGTGCTTGTTGAGGACGATTTGTATATAAGTCGCTAATAACGAAGAAGTTAAGTATATTTATATATATATTATATAGTATATATAATAGAGTGGGTAAAAAAAATCAATTATTTTTTTTTTTACAAGTACCACGGAAAAATGGGTTGCTAGACACCTTAAAAGAATTCTTACCAAATATGAACTCTTAATTTTAATAGGAAGATCCTCCGCATCGCAGTTTTTTATTTTTTTCTCAGTCCAATAGAATAAATTTCATATATATATATTAAGTATATTAGAGATAGATAGATTACCTGTAACCAGCTTGCTTCATTAATAGAATTAAAGTTCTTCTTGTTTCTTGGCCACAATTCATCAAAGTTTCTTTGGCAACGTTCATAGTGTCCTTATCCATTGTCATCAATTCTTGTTGAATTTGTTTCAATTTCAGTTCCTCGATAATTCTATTTTGTTCAGCCAATTTAGATTTTTGTTTTTCGATTATAATTTTCTGAGCATTCAAACGATTTTCTACTAAAGATTCGAACGGATAATTGTTTTTCCGGCGAGTTAATTTTTTTTTATCTTCATTTTCTTGTATAATTTTAAAAGATACATTATTTTTTATCTTCGATTTAAAATGATTTCCTAATTTCTTTTTCTTTTCCGTAATTTCGCTAATAAAAATTTCAATTTTACGTTCATGAGATACGTCTTGTACTTCTTTTTTTATTTTTGAAGCATTTTTTTTATCCTCAGCGTAAGTTTTCCAAAAATTAAAGTATCTTTTTAATCTTCTCGAAGTCATCCTTTCTTGTAGTTTTATTTTTATCTCTCGAAATCGTCGCTCTCTTGTCGAATATTCTTTTACAAATTCAAAATATTTCTTCATTAAGTTCAATCGTTTTTCTTCCGAATCGAAATTAATTTTATTCTTAATAGTTATTTTGATACTTCCGAAAGATTCGTTTACGTCATTTTTATCATTTTCATCGATCTCAGCGGTATTAGAATTTTCAAATATCGGAGATAATTCTTTGACGGATGTTTGTTTGCTTTTCGTTCCAAAAGTTTGTACCTTTAAAATTTAATATTAATTTAATTTTAATAATTATCCATAAAAATGATATTTTTAATTAATTTAATAATAAAACAATACGGTTGCACCTTTGACTTGTTGCTTGTTTTAATCTCCATCTTTATTTTGTTAGATATACTCCAGAAATTTTGGTCATTTGAATTAGCCAGACTTTTTTTACTGCATTCATATTGTCGTTGAAATTTTGGGCGGGATTTATGAAGTTCCTTCTCGAATTTTCTCAATTCCATTTCAAGAAAAGCTCGTTCCTTTTTCAGGCACATTTCTTTAATTTCCTTTTCTTTCAACAACCTAATTAAGGTAATTGTTAATATAAAATAAAAAATAAAGTTGCAATTAATATTAATAAAGGTACATGCACGTAATATAGTATATACAACGTTAGTCAAATTAATGTTACCTTTTAACCTCTGCTAAAGCAGAACAATTTGCGTCTGGATTGTTTAGTGTCTCTCGAGTTATATTGTGTCTCGTATCCATAATTAAATTAGGATCAAGAAAGTCTGTATTGTTATCATCTTCTAATAATCTCTGCTTTTCAGAATGTGAAAAAATTGGCACCTTCATCATTTGATTCACGAGGTCATCTACCTCCTCGAGATGTACCATGTTTTAATGATATTTTTTATCTCGTTGCACCGTAAATTAAACAGTTAAATCTAACTGATTTGTTCACAAAGCATTTGACGTATATAGATCAGAGAAAAAAAAATAGGTTATGGTTTGGGGTTGTTTATGCGTGTTTATTCTGTTGCTAAGGGGAACTCTAAGTGGGAGTTTCGATAAACTGGTCAGGCCCTATATATCTAATCAGATTATAAAATTGCTATTATGCACGCAATCCTAATCATCTATATTGTCTTATTTTTATAAATTATTAATGCTAATAATTAAGAAATCTGTATAACTTTTTATATTCAAAATTGATAAAAATTCCTAATTATTTAAAAATATTTAACAGATTTTGAGAAAGATTACACGCTAATAAGTTTAAACGTTAATATTTCTTTCAGATATTGATAAAAATGAAAAAATGTATTAAGATTTCGAATGAATTTGAATTTTCCCCGCCATTTCTACGCAATTAATTGCCAACATGGAAATCGCTAGCGTCAATTGTTGTCAAGCCAGTGCTGCTGCAGCAAGTGTATCGTAGGCTTGAAAGTGCATCATCTGCTCGTAAAATTCTATTTATGTTGAAGCTGGTAAGACACTTGTGTGACAAAATATATACACAAACATAAAATAAGAAAACACAAGTTAGTAATTGCAGATCGATATCGTCAACGTGTCACGCGTTTGAATTTTGGAATATATTTCAGAATAATCATGGTTAATCAAGTCTAAATCTGTCATATATTTCATAAAAGATTTCTTTTTTCTAAAAAAAAAAAAAAAAAAGAATAAGTAATTGTACGTTTGACATATATTTTTGTTATCAAATAGGTGACAAATCGTAATATTACTGACAGGACAGATAAAATACAATGGATCCAAGGGGCCCTCCTGAGGGGGGCCCTGGTGACACATTTGATATGTCCAACATTAGTAAAGTTGCTGATACTTCGGTAACTTGGCCAATTGATAGCCCAATTAACTCGACAATGTATGAACAACCGAAGAAGATGAATAATAATAGATTACTGTTTTTGACCGTGAGTACAATTTGACAATCAGAAAATTGTTGTCTAAAGAAATAACATTATTTTGATAACATTTTATTTGTTTATCAGGTTGAATATGTTCCAGATCAATCTAGAGATTATTCTCGTTTATTTCCAACGTACGAGCAGGTCTCGTTCTCCCCCAGACCTTCGTCTCCTCTTTCCGAATTTGAACATCGCGTTAGTCCACTTGATCCTAATATGAGTTCTGCTGCTAGGTATTCACCAACTCCAGTTCAATTACCTCCGTCTCCTTTTCATAATTCTGTTGTTATTCTACAAGGTCCTTCTTCCCCTTTAATATCTACAACTGAATCCAATGTAAGATCAAGTATCAATTTTGTGGGTCAATTGACACATCCAATAGATGCGCAAACTGATACTGGAACAGATTTTATTAATGAAGATAATGAAGAAGCTTTAGTTTCTACAGTTGGAAATGAATTAATATTAATGCAAGGTAAATAGTATTAATAACTTGATATTTACAGTGTTGAATAATATGGTGTTATATTTGCAGAGCCTAATGCAGAATTGGAGCACAACACAACTCCGCTCATGCTAACAGGTATACCAGATACAGATTTTGCTATAACAAGAGATTATGTAGTAATGCAAGACGATCAAGCCAATGTAATGAATTCTTTAAAAAATCCAACTTTTACAATGGGAGATAATCATATTAATAATGAATCTGAAAAAAAGAATATAACTAAAGAAAGTAATCCTCAGTCAATAACGGAAGCCAATGAGCAAATGGGTCAAATTAATGAAATATTATCTCATGCGAATAAGAAAAAATCTATCGATAAGAAAAATACAAAGAAGTCTAAGCAACAAATAGACGATGACAAACATTTTTGTAAGTTACTAATATTTGTAACTAATTTATTAATTACATACATTAATTATAAAATTCCAATTTATTCAGGGTGTGATGAATGCGACGGTATTTGTACCAGCGAAGATGGTTGCACTTCTCATAATGTATGTGCAATTGCTGATCAACCTGTACCATCACGAGCTATAGCTACACTGCCAGGATCATATCTTTATATAAAGAAATTATCTACCGTGGATATTATTTTGGGTGGTTCAGAATATGGAGTTTTTGCAAAACGTAATATTCGTAGGCGAACACAATTTGGCCCTATCGAAGGTATTTTATACAATTATGATGGAACACCATTTGAAAATGCATTACCACTGCTTTATGAAGCAGAAGAGGGACAATTTTTGAAAGTTGATGTTTCAGATGAAAGTGAGTATTGATGATCATATATTCATGTATGATTCTGTTGCTCCAAAAAGTATTGAACACATATACTTTTCAGATACTTCAAACTGGATGCGTTTTGTGAGACCTGCACTTACGTACAAAGAACAAAATTTAGTGATTTGCCAACAGAAAGATGGAATTGTATTTTTAACTACAAAAAATATTTCACCAAAAGAAGAACTAAGAGCAGGACCTCATCCTGATTATGCAGCACGTAGAAATTTAATGGTATTGAAACCTGATGTGAAAGATGACAAAGGTATAAATAATTAAATCTGTTTTTATTTTTTATTTTTTATTTTTTATGCTTAATTATATATATTTTTTTTATTAGAATATAACAATAGCGTGAGTATTTGGCCAAAATCGGATAATAATTCTTACAATCATGCAAGACGTATGAAATTGTACAGAGGCAGAAATTTAAAAGAAAAAGAAAATGCTAGACAAAATAATTGTAAAGAATGGAAATGTTGTACGTGCAATTTAATCTTCAAAAAGCTGTCTTTATTTAAAATACATAATCTTATGCACAATCCGGAAGACAATAAGATAAATTGTCAATCGACGGTTTGTCCACAGTGTGGATTAGAATGTCAAAAAAAGTCCGAATTAATCAGTCATGTTTTGCAACATGCTAGATTATCTTTGCCAAAAAGTAACAAATTGACATCAGTGGTTGCTGCATATAAGTGCTCGATGTGTTATAAGCGCTTTGCTACAAAAGTAAGATTACAGAAACATTGTTTAGTGCATGGTGCCGAGGACCAAAAGCCACTGCCGTGCAACATTTGTCTAAAAAGATTCATGAATAATTCTGCTTTATCTTGTCACTTAAAAACACACAGAGGTAAATATCTTTAATAAGTATTTATTAGATTATAACACTTGTTTTAAAAATAATTATATTTAAAAATAATTTCTATAATTTTTGTAGAAAATAAGCAAGTGTATGAATGTCCGATATGCAGACAACTTTTTGATCAAGGCTTGATGTTAAAAGATCACGTTGAGACGCATAGAAATGGAGATCATACATTTACCTGTCCTCATTGCCAAAGAAATTTTATTAAATATTCGGTAATTCGAAAACATATAAGAGCTCATCATTGTGAAAGAAAACACAAGTGTCAGTTTTGTACAAAGCGTTTCCCTACGGTGGATAAACTACGAATGCATTTACTCAAACATTCTGATCACAGGTAAACAACACATTAATCATATGACAAATGATTTATTATACTAATTAATATTCATTTATACATATATTCACTTGTTATATACAGAGAATTTCACTGTGCTAATTGTGGAAAACAATTTAAAAGAAAAGATAAACTTAAGGAACACATGACTAGAATGCACAATTCGCAGAAAACGAATCAAGAACAAACAATACAAAACAATCAAGTAAAGAAGTTTGTGCCAAAGGTATAATCAATATCTATATTCTTTTTTTTTATAGTTTAAATATAAATATGTATATATTAATATGTATATATTAATACATGTACTTTTTATTAGGTAAATCCAAATGATTACAATCGTTTCATATATAAATGCCATCAATGTCTAGTAGGATTTAAACGAAGAGGAATGCTTGTCAATCATTTGGCAAAACGACATCCAGACGTTGCTCCAGAGTCCGTGCCTGAACTAAATTTACCAATTTTGCGACAAACGAGAGATTATTATTGTCAATATTGTGATAAGGTATCGTATTATAATGCAATGATATAACAATCATACGATATCTGTTTCTGTAAATCTTTGTTTGTATCTATTTACAAAGGTGTATAAAAGCAGCAGCAAACGTAAAGCTCATATCATGAAAAATCATCCGGGTGCTGCTCTACCACCGAGTAATCGTCAGAAAGAATCAGAATATTCGAGTCTGCCTAATCCAACTTTCAGTCAAACGGTTGGTAGTATTACAACTACACCTCAAGGATGTCAATGGTGTCATAAACAATATGCTAGTAAGGTAAATCAAATTGAAATATATTTTTGATAAAAGCACTATATTTTTCAATACAATATATTTATACTTGCTATGTAACATGTGTCTTGATAGGCAAAACTTTTGCAACATCAACGTAAGAAACATCCGAATTTAATGGAACCGGCGGATCAAATTCCGCGCTCGAGAAGTCGTCCACCGCAAAATCAAAATCAACCACCTACGTTAAGCGATAACAATTTCATGGATTATATTCAAGCGTGCGACGTAGACGGAGAATTTTTTAAACAGAGAATAATTAAAATATCAAACGAAGTTGATCTAATAAGTAACGGTTTGGAGTTGGTTGGGCAACAATTTGTACGTATGCGTGATATACGTTGAAGAAAGAATAGGCACAATCCCTTTGTCGGGGAATCATTGCTAATTTATCGAGATATGAATCTCGTGACTTTGTGCATAGTCAAAAGAGGCTGTGCTTTTTTGCTGCCGGTACCAAATACAAGGCCATCGTTTGCCTGAAAGAAGTGTGGTACGGTACTTCTACTTGAGAGTATTTGGAATGCAGCTTTGTCAGCGCCAGTGCGAAACACTGAGCGCTGTTGTCTCAATTGTGTGAATTGCAACGTTGGCCACTGACTATGATGACTTCAGTGGATTTGTTGGAATGATGAATTACACGACTTCATGAGTACTTTGTCTGAGCCTCGATACACAAAAAAAGCCTAATGACATAAAGAATAATAATGAACAAGAAACAGTAAGATTATACTTGCAATAGACGTACTATTGTCTTGTGTATTATTGAAAACTTCATTCGCAAGACATTATGGATATTGAGCCATCAGAAGGTAGGACAAATATCATTGTACTGTCAGCACTTATCTAGTGCTAGGTCTAATAGTTTCTTTTTAAGTCTAAACCAAGCTTAAATTCATTGCCAGAGTCTATTGTGAATGTTAACAAAACCTTGATACGCTTTACGTTATAAACGTTTAAGCTTGGCTTAAATTAAAAGACTAAAAATGATCTTACTGCATCTTAGATCACTGTGATTTCGTCTGTATAACATGATTGTTTTGTGATAGACTATAAACCGAATGTAATAATTGCAAGACATGACGTTAAATCATCGTTCACTAGGCATTTGGCTTTAACAATAAAGGGAAAGAAAAAAGAAAGAAAGAAAGAAAGAAAGAAAGAAAGAAAGAAAGAAAGAAAGAAAGAAAGAAAGAGAAAAAGAAATAAAAAAATTTATCTGTAGATTTCTCGAATGATTGCAATCTCCGAAAAAAACGATAGTACGTTTCACTTTCGCTCTATCGTAATTCATAAATTTTTCTCGTAAATCTATTTGTGTCTTTCACGTTTAGAGCGAAAACATCCCTTCTCCTTCTTAGATTTCCAGTGAAAATACATACGCGCATTGTTTTTCACGTAATCGTTTCTCGATATCTAGTTTCATACGCATACCATCTCGGTGTGAAAAGTTTTTCATCTACCTCGATCATTGAATTAGGATGTCCGCTTAAAGCCGATCGTAAGATACACAAGATAAAATTGTAGTTAATCAGGAAAAGAGAAATTTTTGTCTTCGTAGTGTTATGATGTAATGTGTAATAGAAATACTCTTTAAGCGCATAATTTATCCTAACATTTAATAATACTTTTTATCTGGATAATATTGAGAAAAAAATCAAAATGCCGTGAAAAGTATAAGCGTTGCTCATTTAAAAGGTTGTGAAAATTCGTAGTTATCCTTGTTTCAAAGAATTTTAGATTGTACGTCGGACACACGCTCGTTCATCGATTAAAATGATATACATATATTATATTAAACTTTACATAATATACTAGTTTTTTTTTACATAAGATGAAATTTTTCTTTTTCACATTACAGGAATGATTTTTTCATTTATTTTACTTACACAAGATGCATACAGTAAAACACACATTATTACAAATGCGAAGACAAAAGATTGCATGTTCGTTGATGTCATTGAGTACATGGCAAATTGTACTGTAAACATGATTTAAATAAAGTTATTGGATGATCGATATATACCTCATCTATGATGTATATATTAGTATTTTTTCATATTTTATCATTAGTGGAAAACACCACTCGGTATGACATAAATATAATGTCGAAAGATTTAACATTAAATTTAATAACAAAAAAATTAATTAAATTTCTTTCAGTATTTTTTAATTTCTTTTATACATATGTTTCAGCTTACCGAAAAATCTGAGAAGGAAGTGAAAACGATCATTTTACTTCTACACGTATCTTTTTCTTATTCTACCACTTTGCACTGAATAATATGCAGAAATAAATAATAGTTACGATAATTATTACTATAATAATAATAATAATAATAATAATAATAATAATAATAATAATAATAATAATAATAATAATAATAATAATAATAATTATATTTATATAATAATAATA